AACAAACAAAGCTTCTCCCTTTCATCACGCAATTCTTATCTAAGGCAGAAACAAAATATTTAGTGAGTTTGTTTATTTGTTTATTTGGTATTAAGCACAAAGTTACACAATATGCTATCTGTGCATGTCGCGGTTATATGATTTTAGCGTGTAGGTCCACAGACTTACCACTCAATCACCGGGAAGCGCTTGATGAGAGAATTAGTTTATATAGATCTTAAGATTTTCGTCATATTTTCTTAGAAACGCTTTACTTTCTTTTATGTCCCCTGATGGGTCAGCGCTAAATTGGGGGCATATAACTCTGCAATTCGAGGTTTAGAGAACGATGCTGAACACAATTTTCGCAGCTTTACAATGAAGGAAAACAAAATCGTTTATATAGAAGTTTTGAAAGAACTTGGGTATTAATAGGATTAATACAGGTTTCCCAAAGAGGTATCGAAACCAATACTTTTGTAGTGAAAACGATTACAAGTTAAAAATATTGAAAACGTATTCTAAATCAAGTAATCATGAGCTTACGTTTAACATTAAAACGAAAGAGAAAAAGAAACAAAGGAAAAACCGAATGTTTTAACTCTGTCATTTCCATAGAGATATATACATGTCCTCCCCTGAAGCTTTGCCATGGGAATTTGGGATCTTATATCACAATAAGATAATGTTTTCTCCTTTAAATATCTCAAAGATTACCAATGTTATGTTCCAAATATATACTGAAATATTAAAACATATGTCTTTTTCCTTTCTTATTGTTATTGTAAAAAATTGATTTGACACTGGTAAGATTTTTGTATATACAAAATGACAATTAAAGAGTTATAAAGTAATTAATGCATAATTATATTGATTACTTGAAGAGGAATACATTAAAAAGAAACGTTCTCATTATGAACACAAAGCCTAAGTAACCTAACAAGAACTTTGAAGAGACAATAAATATCGAATAAACATCTTCCTCATTATAAACACACTGAGTAGATCTCGTATCAAGAAATGTGGGGCGAGGAGAAAATAAATATCAAATAAACAGCTTCCTCATTATAAACACACTGAGTAGATCTGGTATCAAGAAATGTGGGGTGGGGAGAAAATAAATATCGAATAAACAGGTTCCTCATTATAAACACACTGAATAGATCTGGTATCAAGAAATGTGGGGTGAGGAGAAAATAAATATCGAATAAATAGGTTCCTCATTATAAACAGACTGAGTAGATTCTGTATAAAGAAATGTAAGGTGAGGAGAAAATAAATATAGAATAAACAGCTTCCTCATTATAAACACACTCTAAGGTGAGGAGAAAATAAATATGTTCTACAACATCTCATCATAAGCACATATAGTTTTCTATCATGAAATGTGATTTATTTGTTTGCTGAATTTTTATTAACCTATTCGAGGGCTATCTGCGCTATCTGCCCGTAAATTTTGAAGTGATACGCTAGAAGAAAGGCAACTAGTTAATATCACCCACCGCCAACTTTTGAGCTATTCTTTATCAATGAATTGTAAGATCGACCTTCACGTTATAGCGTCCCCACGGCTAAAGGGGGAAGCAGGTTAAGCGACGGGTTTCGATCTTGCGACCCACAGATTGCGGATCGAGAGTAATAAATAAGTAATAAATTGTTATTAATACCTAGTCACAAATGAAATAAAGACTAAAAACAGTAGAAAACGGAAGTGAGTTGAAAGGTTAGATATCGGGATTTGAAAATCCATTATAAGTTTGAAACTAGAGCAGCTTACTCTGACAAAAGAAGGTGTGTGCATCTCAGTATGGAGTTTAACAGATAATTAATACCTCTTCATCTTAACCCATAACTAACAAATGAGCACTTTAAAATTAACTTTTAATTCGGACGCTAAATAGTTTTTATGAATAAGATTCTGAAAAGAAAAACATATTATTCTTGATGGAAAATTTTAATTTTATTTATGATAAAGTTATAATTTGTTATTTGATTTTTTATATACGAAAGGAAACTAATTTCAAGATCTTTCGGAGGTAATTGCATGTGGATTCAGAAAAAAGTTTAAATTAAGAAGTAAGTTTTCCACCGTTTGTATTTTATCATTAAGGTGTGATTATATTAAGAGTAACCCTTTATGCTGCTGTTTTGTTTGAAGGGAAGATTTAAGAAATTAAAATGACTGACTTGTAAGAACTGGCCTGCAAGAACAATGTTATAGCTTAATTAGGAAACACAGTATTTTTCAAGCATTAGAACCTAACATTAGTTTTAAATTCAGAATAGTTTGGTTTTTAAACAGTGATATCGCTGGGTAGTGTTCTATTTTACCTCAGCTCATTCACAATCAGAGGGAAGTAGATTATATAAAGTGGTAATAGCACATTATCTAGAGGCACAGTAGTTACTCCAGCCAAGCTAGAAGGTTGGAGTAACACTACCGTATCTCTATAAATAGAACTGAACTTTGGCCAACTTTGGGATATTTTCACAGCAGTTTCAATTGCTAGAATGCCACTATTCTTATGTTTTTGAACAGAGGTAAGCATCATTAGATCGCATTAAAAATAGAGGTTTCATATTTGTCTCACAAGCTGTCATAAAGTGGTTAAAATTATTGTTCTTATCTTCTTTGATGAAGAGGTAAAACATATAGTAAATAAAATAGGTTGGCACGAAACAAAATTCCAATGGAATTAATCTGTACTAGGTTTCAACAAATGTTGTACATATATTATTACGCTTTTTGGAACACTGTTTTCGATCATTTTAATCGTGAATTACTCTCCAGAAACACTAGGTTCGAATTGATGAATTAAGAACCTAGTAAAAAATCTGAAAGCCTTATATGAGGTCTAAAACACTACATCTGTCCTACATTCCTCTAAACTAAACAATAAAAACATCGGAAAACTTCGTACTCATTTTATATTAATTTTAGTGCTTGTTTCAGTTGCAAAAAAAAAAAGCGGCCAAGTATTCCAAGATATTCTTATTTAATTTACCCAGTTTTATCTTACATCTTTACAAGGTTTGTCTTTATATATAATTTGTCTCTTTCTTGATACCACTTCTATAATATGGCTAACACCTTTTTTCTAGCTTAGCTGATTTTGTACATGTAAAGTGTTTTGTTCAGATGTCACTTTTTTCTGCTTTAGCATTTTCAAATTAATTAAAAATAAGATTTCACTTGAAGTGAAGTTCGAAACCCTGCCAACAGAGGAAATTGTTGGGTTAAGATGGCCATCTTAACTATGAATGAATTTTTCACCAATTAAGGGATGGAAGTCATGGGAAAGCTAAATGTTTTAAAATTAACCCTGTCTTTTTTTTCTATAAATCTTATTCCTAATTAAAACTAACCTTATCAAATTACTTTTTAACACACATTATTAGTTCTGACAAATTAGTTCGTGCGTGTTTTCATGTCTAATTTATAATTCAGTTCATGGAGTTATCAAATATTCATTGACAACTTTCTGTGGGCGAGACTATTAGAATGTAGTCAATTGCGAGCAATCAGTTTCAAGATTATCTAGCAAATAATTAACATAATTCCAAAAAGGTATGCAGGGCGAGCTATTATTCATTTATAATACTACAGTTTTTTAACAATGATTAGCTTTAACACCATATTTTTACACTTGACAAAATTGATCATTGTTACTAGAGTTGGTTCATGCTGAAATTAGAAACAAATTCTTTAGTACACCGTGAAATGCATGACTTCTGTGACATCACAAACTGACATTTATCAGATAATTAATCAGCACTCTCTTTTTCCGTACCCCAGAGTGGCACAGCGGTATGTCTGCGGACTTACAACGCTACAAATCGGTTTTTCAGTGGACAGAGCACAGATAGCCCATCGTTACTTAATTGTTACTAACTTAATTACAAACAAACAAGCTCTTTTTTTCCTATATACATGTATATGTATGCACATCCATATATCTGTACTTGCTCAGTTAAATTACATTAATACTTTGGTTTTTTATTATGATTTTTAAATCTTACTGATAGACATGTTTCATCTGATTGCAATATACTGTGAAAATTTATATTACTAATATCTAAATCAACTTATAGTAAGGTTGAAATGTGATTCTATATTTTTATAGTCCTAATAAAACATGCTGTTTTTCATAAATAAGTTGGTAGAGGTTTACTAACACATGTGACGGATTTATTATTCTATATATATTTTAATATCGATGTTTGTTTAAATTAAATTGATATTTAGAAATGTACATAGCTTATACAGTTAAATATGTATTGCGAAACTCCCACCTATTCTTTAAAGTTGAGTGTGTGCACGTAAACGCTAGTGTAGCTTTTTATTGTTACGTAATCTGAATTTTCGAGAAACTTTACACACGCTTATAAATATAAACCTCGAAAGCTATAACTGTTATTGTTATAATGCTTATTAACGAAAGACTTAAGATATTTGACCAGGAACATTTATAACTTTCGAACATTACAAACCATTTAACTTCAGTGGATTCCCATTGGACATTAGTACTTTTACGAAAACATTACCTAACTTCATCGGTGGAAAAGAATCGGCGAAGAATAAAGAGTTAGCTAGCTCCCTATTAAGTGAATTGAAGTGAATTGTACCTACGTCAACTCGAAATTAACTCGCTCATCGTGAACCCTCGATAAGACATCAAGGAAGTCGCAGACTAGAAAGAAGATTTTATATTGCTTGTAAGTTTGTAAAACTTTTGTATATAAATCATAGTTTGTAATAACTATTTGTAATAACCATTATTGTAAGTTGTATTATTGTGTGTGTATTAAAACATATTTGTATATAAAAAAAGAAAACTTTGTGTGTCAATCTTGTTGGCAAATATCATAAACTGGATATATATCGGCTTTAATTTAACTACTAAATCCAAAGTACAATTTAACTACTAAACTTAAATTTATCAGTTAACTCAATTTCAGGCTATTTGAAATTCTAATACTTAACAATATTGAATGTTATTCTATTTATCAAAAAACAAATATCAAACCTCTGATGTCAGGATTCGTAACCAAAGCTTCAGCAGGGTTTCCCTCAGATTTGGTGCATCATTGTGTCCAAGTCTTTGTAGGGTATCCACAAGAAAGCCTATTGATACTGCTGTTCCTCCACACTACCCAGTAGAAACAAGAACTGTTTATTTAACATTTTGGATGTTTAAATACTTTATTATATCATTAACTTCTCTACAAGAAATCCAACTTTCTAGAGCAAACTGAGAGAATTGTGTGCCTTAGTAAATTTATGAACTCTTTCTGTAGTAGCCTGTCTTGTGGACTTTACATTCAATTTATATATATTGTGTTTTTTTAACAAATTATTTCTATAGTAAACTACAAGTCATGTTTGTCTTGTGGATTTTAAATTAACTTTATACAGCACAATGACAGTCTTGTATGCATTATACAGGTTTATCATGACTTCTCTTCACAGTATACTTACCACTCATACTTGTGTCTTGTGGATTTTTCACATGACATTAGCATTTACCACTTTCTCTTTCTTGCTGTGGTGAATTTTATTACCTTCACTTTCTTCGTTTTAATAATGTTCTTTATTGCTAATAATTAGGGCTATGACGAAGGGTAGATATTAACTTTCAAAAGTTCAGAATACATTACCAAACAAAGGTCCAAACCTTTGAAAGTATTAATTTTGCATAATTTACTAATGACATCACCATAACTACTACTTTATATTTGATCAAAAACCCAATTATTTTACAGGTAATCCATATAATTCAAATAATATATTCACTCGTAGTTTTAAAATATGTTACACAGGACAGTAATGATGTTTTTATATTTTGAATAAAAAAAGAGCACATTGTTTACATACATGTGTTTGACGTTATGTGCGATACTCACATGCTATATACAGTAAGCTTACATTGCAATAGTACCTATTGTGGCCAATAAAAGTAACTGCAGCTGACTTATGGAAAACAAATACTTATTTAACATTCAACATTTCAAGCAAGTTCATAGTCATCGTCTTTTTAATATAACATTGTTGATTAATTAAACATGATAATAAGTTTTTAGTGTTGGTGTGTATATTATTTTCATACTTACTCTACTATAACACTTCTCTCACTGGACATTTTATTGAAACAAGCAGCTACTAAATGTACCTATCTGCTCCAATTCACTGAAGGAACTGCTCCATATAATGTGTCTGATGGTTTTGTTTTTTAATACAACAACTTTTATTTAAGAAATATATATTATACAAATCAAAAGACTGAATTTTCTATGCGAGTAACATTTAATCAGTGGTAAATATTCTAACATTGTCAAATGACAGCACTTGAATGCTGCCTGAGGAACTTTCAAATTTTTAGAACTATTTTTGAATTTCTGGCTAGCAAATGAACCTTTAAACACTTAATAATTCTTATATATTAATATTATATAGCTTGTACACAGAATTATAAATGAGAACAGAGCTATTTCACTTATTTGAGTCCTAATAGTAATCACCCCACATGTAAAATACATATTGTGTGATAATTTAACAAAAAGATAATTTGTACAGAATGTTTTATTTATTTCCACAAGTTTTCCAAATATTTTCAATAATTTTAATCAAATATACTTCTGTATAGAATTAAAATTTGCATACTTTCTTAACAAAAGTTTTCATGGATAAAAAATTTTATATTTAACTGCTTTCTTTAAAAAATATAATTTTTAATACATTTATATATACATACACAAAAAAAACAGTAGCCTAGTATGGGCAGGTATTTCTGAAAGCATAGCTACTGTAGAATTTGTTTTCATTCACTTAAGGATTTCACCTAATTTTTTTGTATAAAAAATAGAAGGATATAAACTTTTCTACTTTTTGGAGCCATTTTTTAAATACAAAAGTTTATATTGTTACTTACTGATTATGGAAAATTATTCATTCTACTTGAAAACACTTTTCATATTAAACTCTTAAACACCCAAGTGCATCATTTCAATGCACCTGTTGTCTGGTTCGTTCTTTGAATTTCCCAAAAAACTTACTAGATGAAGTGATTAGGAATGTCATAGGAACTTTCTACAAATTATGTAGTTCTTGAAAATAAAATATTATTTTTTTATATGTAATACCTGTATGAATTTACAGCATGGAAAATTCAAAAAGATTTCATTGTGACATACTTGGAAAAAAAATTGAAATTGTTCATATTTCTTGTAGATTTTAATATAGTTCTATATACATTTTAATGTTATTACATGTTGACACAGTTGAGAGCAAAATGACTTAACTAAGCCTACCTTATCTTGTTCCCTGATAAACATTTCATTTTTTATCATACTTCAACATCACAATTCAAAAGAAATAAAAAAATGATAAAGTGAGCTTTGAAAAACAATCAGGACTGAAATTGTACAGAAAGTTGTTCACAAAAATCTTTTCTAGCTAAGCTTTCATCACTTTGTTCTAATTTCTTCACAACTTTTCCCTGAAATGGAAGCCATATTGGCTCATACAGTTGAGAAGAGCTTTCATTATGTGTTTAGTTCACTAGCTTATAACTTCTCAAAGTTGAGACATAGGCAATTACATCACACTATTACATCCGAGGTTGAGAAGCAGTGATTGGTTAAAATCTATAAACTAAACTTGTATTACAGTTACAAAGTTAACTTAGTGCTATTTTGTTCAATACCATTTCAACTTTCTTCCTGGAGAGCTACAAGTGTTGTATCCTAAGAAAAAATCCCATAATCACAATAACAGATTAGTTCAAATTCACAAAATGAAGATACCTGCTTTTGTTATACATTCTAAAACCAGATAATTTGTGATCTTAAATCTCTTGTTCCAGTTAAAAAATAAAATGGCTGATAGTTTTATCATGCAATAACTTAAGTTCATACTTATGCTTTCACAATAAAAATTTTTATAAAAATGTGAAAAACATATAATACATGACTTTATGTTTATAATGGCAGAAAATAACCATAAATTAAATTATCTTCAAACCGTGAAATAAAAATCAACTTTTTAGTTTACAACACAAAATGATATAAACTCTGTTAAAACAGTGCAGTACTTGAATTTTGAAAAATAAGACAGCCATGTTTCAACCTAACAAAGCTGACCTGAGGAGCTTCCTGCCTCTTTTCTTCAAACCACCTAAATAATTCTTCTACATCAGATAATGAAACAAGATTAGCTGCACCAGAAGCCATAAACACCCAGGAAACGCTTAAACACAGCACCTGAAAAATATAATTCACATTTAGATCAGTGAAAATGAATATACAAAAAATATGTGAACATACAGAAAGGTCAGTGTTTTCATTCCTAGTAAAAAATGTAACTTCCAGACAATATACAATATAGTTCTTCTTGTTCTCCATAATGACCTTAATCCCAACTAATTTGGGGCTGGCTGGTAATCTTGTAAGTGGCTGGCCTAGATGGGATGAGCATAGTTGGAAACAAGAATTCAAACTTGTGACCCTCAGAATGTGAAACAAGCTCCCTAACCATCAGGCCAGGCCCAGAAAATATATAGAATACTCTAACTAACAATGTGATTTTGATTTTTACACAACAAGAAGAGCATTTCCATATCTTCCTTTATGACTGGACCATATTTTAGGTAGCATTTAATTATTTCTTAATGCTACAAATCATTTTCTAAATATATTTGATGAGAGATAAGTAAGAGCATTATTCCAACAGGAGGGTGACACAACCTCCTAGCACACTAACTCCCTTTATGCTTTTGCACTCGTGATCATTATTTGAAGAGGCAAGGAAACTAATTTGCACCAGAAGTGAGAAGGAAGGGTGGGAATTGTGTATACAGGTAAGTATCTATTGGAAATACATTTTCAGGTAAAGAAAATGTTAACTTCCTAGACGAAACACACCTCTTCACACAGAAAGCTATAACCCCCATGTAAATGTCATGTAGATGAGCTCCCTTCAGGAAGTGCACGAAGGAAACTCATGAAGTGTGACACCCAATGACAGGTGTTCCATAAGGGCACACTCATGGGAGACCACATCTCATCTCTTCTGCAGTACACTCTTTGACCAGATTGGAAGAGAAAAAGAGGCAAAAAAGCCCAATGTATCACAGGTATGAAATGGAATAAGAACATGGCCGTCTACGTACCTGCACACGAGATTGGAGAACCAATACATGTAGCATGCTCGGGGTTTATTCAGACTATATCTAGTGCACACCTCAATTCTACCTTCAGAATTACTGAACTGACACCGGCTGAGGGAGATGGGCACAGGAAGTATTAGTGCATATCTACCATCAGTCTCTTGGATAAACACCAGCTGTGGGAGGAGTGCACAGAATACATATCACAGATTGTATAATGTTAGAACGTGCATTGATTGAAAAGAATAATCACCTGCTGCAGGAGAAGGGCATGATTTATTTGAAAGTGCTCAACTCAACTGAACAGGAGATGATTGCAGGTAGTCAGTGGGTTAATTACATTTGAAAATCAGGTGGCATCAAATATGTCTTCCAGTCCATGGTAGGAGGAGGGCCCCAACCATCTTCATCTCATTACCAGGAAGCAGAAGGGAGAAGTAACTTTTGTTTTGACAACCCAGAAAATGCACATGCATGCAGATAAACACCCATCACCAGGCCACCTGACATCCAGGAAACAGTAGGAAGGGGAAATGTAAACATGGTGGGTCAACTCTGTTCAAAACCCTGCCAACATTGGGAATGTTTCATCTAGCCCACAGTAAGAGGAGGACCCCTACCAACCACATGTGTGAGAACTTGAATGGCCTGGTTCTGTGCTGATCCAAAACCTGAGAACTGGCATCTGGGCAGTGGGAGGATGGAGGATGCTGGAATTTTATGAGTATAAGTATATGAGGGGTACCTGTGCTACACTGCCAGTGCCACCACTGCCCCACTTACCACTGATTGGTACCGTTTGTTCAGCCCACGGCTATATGGTCCCAATCAATGAGGGTTCTCCATGGTCCACCGTACCAGCAGCTAGGAACTGGTAAGTGGTAAGGGTCTCCGGATGCCCATTGGTCACTTACTGGAAATGTCTTTTACTGGAGACAGTGAAATGGGTGACCACGTAAACCTATTTTGAAAAGCCAGCAAGCACGAGCCAGGGAAGTAGGCAGAGCACCCCCTGGTGCTGGTTTTTTCCAGGATAGTAGACAGAGATCAGAATGTAACACAAGGATACTTCCAGTGGACTTGAGGAACACTCCATCTCAACAGTGGGCATATATGGAGCCAGGGCAGATGGTAGGAGAACTTTTCATTAATCCTCGCTTGATGCAGAATTTTGGGAAATAAGTGTACCCTGGAAGGCAACACAAGCCATTTGGCAAGGTCCATGAAGCAATGCTGTGAAAAAGAGAAATGAGGGAGAATGCATTCACCTAGCTAATGAGGAGGTATGTATGAGTACAACCCAGAGAAATAAGTGGCTCCAGTGAAGACATGATCCTTAAAAATAATAGAACCTCTTGTACAGAATGAATAAGAGAGGTTGGCATCCTGGTGACTAAAAGCTCCAAAGCCTGCAGATGGATGAGAGAAAGTTGGGCCTGACTGAGAAAGGAGTTGAAGAACACCCCCAAATGAATAAGATATTTGGTGGGAGTTAAAAAGTATTTGGAAATCTTGACAAGTCAACCCAAATTGGCAGCTTCTCACAGAAGAGTGGAGATGTGAAGGGAGGACTCCACCTGCAAGTGAGATGGGAGAAGCCAATCATCCATGTAATAGTGGAATCGCAGATCGAGTCCTTACAGATGGCAAGCAAAGGCCTTGTCCACGCCAGTGAAGATATATGGGGCTGATGCAATTCCAAATGGAAGAGCATAGAACTGGAAAATGCAATCGTGATGAACAAATTGAAAGAAAAAACGGGAAAACTCTGTGACAGGAATATAAAGGAACAAATCTGAGACATCATTCTTGGTCATCCACAGTCCCAGTAAAAGATCCCACTTGAGGGAAATGAAATTTTACATACAAAAATGAGAGATGACCATGAAGAGATTCAGGGAGAAAAGGCTGATAACTAGCTGCTATTCTATGGTCTTTTGGGGAGCTTCGAAGAAGTGGGAGTAAAACCATGGATAGACATTGAAGATAGAGATCCAAAGTAAAGGGGGAGTAGGCTGAAAGGAGGAGGTGAGGAGTATTGGCAGGAAAGTCCATGAGTGAGAACAAAAGTAACTATCTCTCTACAGAGAGTTGTGTCCAAAGATGTCCCCAACAAGCCAAAGGACAAGGAAAGGAAAAACAGGAAAAGGGGGACTAGGATTATAGATGGGAGCAAGGTGTGGGTGTTGAGACAGTCAGAAAACTAAGGAAGTTAACGAGGATTGATGACAGGCAGCTTCCACCTATGGTTGAATTAAGTTCATAATACCCATAAAAAACTGAAATGTGAAGAAATGGGTGAGGTGGAGATCTCATAAAAAGGAAGAAGGAAGTTGCACACTAAAAAGAAGGGTATCCCCATGCATAAACAGAGAGTCCAAGTAAGCAAAAAAGGGATGAAGAAGTAGTACAGGCCATAGTGGAAAGGAGAAGGGAACAGGGACTGTCAGTAAAGTCATCCAGTGCTCTGTGAATGCCTCCAACATTAGGTGTAGAGAGGAAATATAATAAAGCAGAAAGAGAAGGATTAGGAGGGTGAAACTGACCCCAAAGAGACTCCAAAGTTTGTGATTCCAAAATGGGGAAGTCAGAAAGACTGTATGCCATGATATAGGAATAATAAAAGTGAGGAAAATGACACATACTAACACAGGAACAAAATTGGTCTAAAAAGAAAATATCATAAATGCTAAAATCAGAAGAAAAGGGTAAACATAAAATTCATTGGGGATATGAAGGAGAGAACAGGAAATGTCATATGAGACAGGAAAAAAAGAGAGAACAGAACATACCTGAGGTCCCAATAATGTGAGGAAACCTGAAAATTTTCTCCAATAGGAAGAGAGGTTCCTAAGGTACAACCAGGAGGAGGAAACAAATGGTAAAAGTCGTCATCCTCTTTAAGCTCCCACTCAGAAGTAGAGAAAAAAATGCCAGACAAATGTATGGGCACCAAAACTTTCAGTTGCATATTGGAGTCCACTACCCTATGCACAATGCCCGTCACATCATCCATGTTTAATGGACCTCCAATAGCCAAGTTTGAAACATGACTAGTGTGATGATATTCCTCACTTACATTAGAAGTTGAAGTTACACAAACTTGAGAGTTCACAGGTGGAAGAAAAAAGGAAACAAAGTCCTTTTATCAACTGCATAGTTAGAAAGCCAGATAATTATGGGACATTGCCTGTTTTTTGCATGTTATCTACCTGTGTTCGTTAGTGCATTATTTAATTAAGTAAAAAATTATCTAGTGCAATACTAATTAGTATAAAAAGTAGGGTTAATGTCAACAATGGTTGACAGCAAAAAAAAGACCCAAAAAGTACTTTATTTTCTTGTTTTTCATGTGTCTTCTATATTTATTACTATAAAAGTAACTAAAATGTAAAAATTGTAAACTTTTGAGGTTAGATTAGGTAAAATAAAGAACAATAATAATAACAATTTTTCACGTGATGAGCTCACAAGTAGCTCATGCATTATGTAATTTGACAGCATAACATGAACTGCATATTCACCAAGTGATGTACAACTTATATGGCACAAATATTAGTTAGACATAGTTCAAAGGGCAATAAAATGCAAGTATAAACAGATGTATGTTGTGAGTTTAAAGCTATTTATAATAAACAAATGTGGTTTCATGTTACAATTTCAAGTCATTCTAAAAAGAAAAAGAGGGTAATTTAAATTTATCTAAATTTTTTTTGGTGGTTATGAGGTCAGTCAAATTGACCAACCTTATACAGAGTTAGGGTAGAGAAAGTAACAAATAAAATAGTTTTACCGAATGAAAAACGTTTGAAGTGAATTTAGGAGGTTTTAGAGATTCCGCAAATGAAATTAAAGATGAAGAAAAGTATTTTTATTCTTAACATGAAGATCACTTTACACTCAGACTTGTAAAAAAAAAAAGACTCAATATATTCACAGACAAATCTTTAGTCAAAATACTTAATTAAAATATCTGATTTTTTGTGTACAATAAACTTGTAATGTTTACTAAAAGTCTGCCAAATTTTGTGAAGATACACAAAAATAAAAATATAGCATGGAAACTGTATTGAGTACCCCATGATTACAAATTCAATCAATTTGACTGAGCCCATAGCTGTAGGGTTAAACTAAGCATTCTACTGTAAAATGTACACTGTATGTTTCATTAATTACTAGCAAAAGAATAAATATGTCAGTCATGGCAGTCTATTGACAATAATATCCAACAAACACACACTGCCATCTGGAGGAGTGTAGCAAAACTATGTTTCTATTAAATTAATTACCTCATAAGTAAGTGTGGTAGAATCTTCCTGTTTAAGTCTTTTATACAGCCATGATCGGGTATGATCAACAAAACTGTGACATTCAGAATTCTTGGTTCTAGACAACCCACAGACAGCAGCAACTAATCCAAGGAGTGGTCCTGTTCTGAAACAGTCAGACAGAGTGTAAACATTATGTATATTCAGTAGTTTTCTTTACACAACAAACTATAATAAAACACAATTGCAATGAGACTTCCTCACCTGAAAAGACTAAATTATCTGGAAAGATTTGTTCTATGGAGCAATTTCAGATTGTGCAATAGAAGTCGCACAAGAATCTGTACTTTAAACAACCTAACTAATGTGAACTGTTTCTCAAAAAAAAAGTTTTTGTGTTTACACAATGTTTGGTTGCCAGTTTTTTAGAAGTTTTTCAGAAAACTGCACAAAGGCTATCTGCAGACAGTCCCCCTAAATTTCAATCAATAAACTAAAGAGAAGTCTGATAGTCAACAGCCCCCACTGTCAACTCTTTGACTACTTGTATGACTGAATACTGGGATTAGACCTTCACTGTTATGGAGCACCCATGACCCCAAAGTATAGAACTTGTTTTTAAGGTAACAGAATGCAAACCATTATCCCTCAGATTTACAATGTGGCTATACTAATCATTAGGCCATGCCTGGTCCTTTACACAATATACTGCAGTATAAAGCCAACTGGCTTCCTAATCTTAAATAGTTAATTCTGTGCAACAATAAACTGCAATATAAAACCTAATGTAACTTTCAAAAATGTCAAGGACAAAAAATCAATGTACTGTAAAAATTATTACAATGTTTTCCCCCCTCAGAAACCATGGAAATAGGAATGAACAGTATTTAAAAGAAATTAACTGTAGTAATTTCATTTCTGTTAGAAAACACTTCTCAGTTAAAAATATTTAACAGTGTGAAACTGACAATTAATCCATGTTCCCTTACAAAAACACAGTTTAAGATACATGAAATATTGGTTTATATCATATTTCACTGTGTGCATATATATCAGAATATTTATTTTGTTATATGGTACAGAGTAGATGTAACATATATCTACAAGTTGCAAGTCTCACATCATGTCTGAATCATCCTGTTATATGGTACAGAGTAGATGTAACATATATCTACAAGTTGCAAGTCTCACATCATGTCTGAATCATCCTGTTATATGGTACAGAGTAGATGTAACATATATCTACAAGTTGCAAGTCTCACATCATGTCTGAATCATCCTGTTATATGGTACAGAGTAGATGTAACATATATCTACAAGTTTCAAGTCTCACCTCATGTCTGAATCATCCTCACCATAACAGCAGCTCTCTAGTCTTCTCATATTATTCAGAATTAGATTAGTGATCTAAAATAAGAAAAATATATAAAACATTCATCATCTTGGACAGTAAAAGTGGATAAAATGTTTGACTTTCTACATTTTTCTCATTCATTATCTGGGACAGTAAAAGTGGATAAAATGTTTGTCCTTTCTACATTTATCTTAACATTTAAAAAAAACAGAAGATGTTTTGGAATTTAATTTTTCATAATCCAAGGCTGTAACCATGTAATTCACCAGTCATGCATACACATGCCTCTTTATCATACTTAATAAATCCTGTGTATTTATGATACTTTGTTCAACTTTCAAGACTGTAAAACATAAAATATCCAAAGGTGTTTATAAATAGACTCAAAAATTTTGTATTTATCTTGTCCTCAAAAAAAGGTATAAACAGAATATTTTTATTTCTCTGGGATGTAAAACTTGCAGCATATTTGAGGGCTTTAGTAGCTTTCTGTACAACCATATATACTACAAATGTTATTTTAACATATAAGTATCATTAATGATGTTTTGTATATGTTAGTCAAACATTTTAAAACAAAACGTATTTGCCCATTAGAACAACTAATAGTATTTCTGTGATACACAATAATAATACAAAAAGGGTTACTCTCAAAATTAATTTTATCAAAGAAGTTTCATCCTACTTATAGAAATGTACTTCAAACTGCTTGTTTCTTGAAGACAATGAACTGTAAGTTATTATATGAATCTCAAAATACTACAGTCCCTGCTTTTACTGATAAACATTTATAGTTTAAGTATTCATACAAAAAATTGAAGCTACTCAATAGAGAAAAGCCAGCTCATACTATTGCAGACAAAGATAAAAGTCATAGTGAGTTGGATTGAATGAATGAAAAATGGTACTCTTTTTATGGTAGTGCTGGAACAAAAACAGAGAATAATTTAACTGTGAAACGTCTCATATGATAAAAAAATGTTTTATAAATTATTCCAGAAAAGTCAACCATTTTTCTAGTAACAGCTCTTTAAATGTTTCCATCTTCTAGGTAGGCATTATTTAATTTGCTTATTTATACAAATGTCACATTACAAAGAAAATACTTCATGAACTGTTGAACAATCGTTCTGATGTAGTTAAAATGCCAATGAATGTATAATTGCAGTTAATTGTTTTTTTGCTATTGATCTTTAAAGGTTCAGTATTCTGGCTATATAATATGAAGGTTAAGAGAGAACCAATACTCCACCTACCTTTAGGTCCTATAAATATCATCAATAATGAAAATGTTTTGAAGTATCATTTCATCTTATTTGGTATTTAAGACTCTTTCAATACGTTCAATCACTCATAAAAATAAAGATAAAAATATATTACAAGTGCAACAAATAAATAAATGTCTCAGCCTAATGTCACTGTAAATTGTTTTAATCAAAGCAAAATTCCAATTCATGCTACTACATGTAAAAAATAAACAAGAAAAACTGACCTCTGTGCCATTTTCATCAGCATGACCTTCACAACACAGTTTCTGAATTATCATACCAAGACCGACAGCTAGATAAAATTCTAAGGTGGGAGATGAAGAAGAACTAATGTGGGAGGTGAGATAGTTAAAGAGCATACAAAGCTGGTCCACACCAGATGAAGCTAACTCAGGTGCAAAAAATGCAACTGCCATGGCTGAACACCCACGAATCAGAGCCGAACTTGGACTTGATGGCTTAGCAATATGCTGAAATCATAAAGTTTTCATGAACATGTTTTTATTTTACTAGTCTTAGTTATTATCATTACTGCATGCTTTTGAACATGATATTTAAGTATTTGATTACCATTAACTCTCTATCAGAAACAAGGGCATTCCCAAAATAAATGGTTAAAACAGAGGTTCCCACTTGTAGCTTTTGTATGGTTTATATACTTGATTTTCATGAATGAAAAAAACTTAACTGAGTTTGTAAGGAAGAGTCAACTTATTGGAAGGTGTACTAGAATAATGTTTAATAACACTACAAAAACACGATCACAGTTTGCTAACATAAAATAAAACAGGGGTTTGTCATGTGTTTGACTGCAAAGAGAGAGAAAGGAAGTGAAATCTTTGTGAACCTTTTCTCTCACCAGTCTAATGTGTACCTCCCTGTAGACAAACCCAAAGTTTAGTACAAAGTTAAATTAAAGCTCAACAGAACTTAAATGAGAACAGAAGAAATGAATAAAGAAAAATCTGTGTTGACAAAAATTCAATTTGCTAAAAGTTAAAAAAATCTCAGCAAAATTTGTTAAACAAATGAGAATCTGGATTTTGAAACTAAAATATACAGTTACAATTTAAGCCAGGTTTATATACAAAACAATACTCTGCATCCATCCACTTGTGTTCATGTTTGTTGGAGAAGTAAACAGACACACACTCCACATCCAGTATCTTTTGAACCTCCAGTTACCAAGCCCTGACTACACTATTATGTTAGCCAGAAAATACCACAATAGATAATCAGTATGACTTAAAATTTCAGCCTTGTACTGCTATGTACAACCATCAATCTACAGAAATGTTAATTTTACAAGAAAACAAAAATCTCATTTCACTTTCTTAACTACATATTGTAGAGCCTTCAACTTACATAAAAATTAATTTTAGACAATAATAAAAATAACCCGAAGCAAAATCATTCAATCAAGAGTGGTAGCATTTTTTTAAACATACTGCTCCTTCATATTTGGAGAAGCAGTTTCTATATTTTGTTTTTTACTTTAAGTACAATAGACTTTACTTTGCTGAAAAAAAAAAGATATTTGCTTATTAAAAACAGATATGAAATTATGAATAATAGCTAACCTCCTGCTGACCAGTTCCCACCTGTACTGACAAGATATGTTCATTGATAAACCTCCTGCTGACCAGTTCCCACCTGTACTGACAAGATATGTTCATTGATAAACCTCCTGCTGACCAGATCCCACCTGTACTGACAAGATATGTACATTGATAAACTTCCTGCTGACCAGATCCCACCTGTGCTGACAAGATATATTCATTGATAAACCTCCTGC